ATGCTAATGGCTCCAAAAGCTTTCATGTTACTTGTATTACTTCAGAAATACTTGTACTAGTAATGATATTTGCACACTAGCAGCCATTTACCATAATTATATTTTATTGAAAAAGTATTTCTGAATTCATATTATAGAACCAAAGTTACTAAGCACTACTTTTTTAAAGAAATAGGGTTTATTTTTCTTTCCCCCAAGTTTCTAAGATTATTTTTGCATGCTCAGGTAGAGAAGATGAGCACTGTAGCCTGTCTTCACAACAGAAACTGTGGCAGTGCCTCTGTGACAGAGATACCTTGCAGGAAGATCAGCATAATAGGCCTTTGTCACTTACCCTAAAATCATTTGGGGTGGCTTGAATAACTGCTGATGCTAGAGGGAGAAGAGATTCCTCTCTTTCCCCTCTCGTTTTTCCTTGAAATACGATGACAATAGAAGGTTGAAATTGAGGAAAATGGCCAAGAGCTCCATAGGTTCCGAAGGCCAGGAACGTGTAATGGGAAAAAATCCATATAAATTAATTATTCTTCTGCATCTCTTTCATTCTGTCCATATGCAGCAATCCTGAAATGGCTGGAGTATATCAAGAATTCATCTCTTTGGAAGCCTGAGGAGTCTCATACCATCTCAAATGCTTTTGTGTGTTGCTGAACTTCTGGTTCCACGTCTCCCTCAGTCATTTGCGTTATGGGAGACGTGGTGATTGAGAATCCACATCTTTGCAGGGCTTTTCTGTTCTTTGGGTGGGAGCTTGTCCTCCCTGTGTGAAACTTCATGGGTAAGATGGATGAGAACAGTGGCTTAGTTTTATTTGGTCAAGATACATGTGTCTGCATCCTTGCACCTTCCACGTATTTCATTAATAGAAAATGGCTATCATTTATTGAAAATGTGCATAAAATAGGTTTGTATGTATGCATTTAGAACAGGTTTGTCTCAGAAGTCTCTAGTTACAATTATAATCCTTCAATAACTGTTCTAGTGATGCATCAGAATCAAAATAAAGAAAAACTGCCTACAGAGCAATGAGTGATTTCAGGGAAAAAGTTCAGAAAAAAACCAAACTGTTCACTGAAAGTGGTATCAGGAATTACTTGGACTTGAGCCACAGTGCTTTGGGTCTGTAGTAATAATACTTTATTTATTATTTTAACTAGTTTGAAGCTCACTGAGCTACTTTAGGTATATGCTGGTATAAACTTTCAAATCGTTATCTCCAGCGTTCAGGTTAATTTAAAATCTTTCTTGGTCACCATTCACATGAAAGACAAACTGAAAGAATACTCGTGTACCGTTTATGCCATACATACATACTTTTATTACAGTGTTTCAATCACATAATTCGTCGTGCTACCATTTTGTGGTCAGACACCACACTTCGTTGGATCACCTTTTCCTAATGCTGTGGATTTTCCTATCCAAACCACAGGCTTTTCCATTTCGCCGGCACTCTTGACAGCGAGTATCAGTCCTGTCCGCGGAGGCAGCTTCAGGCAGGCTGTGCAGCCGGGAGCGGCTGGCTCGCCGGGACACGCGTGGATGCGTGGCACAGGGATGCTGCTTTCGGTGCTGGCAGTGCCCCCGAGACGCGACCCCTGTGTGGTCCCCGCTCGGGTGCACATCCATGTGCATCCATCCATCTTTCCCATGTTTTCTGCACACGTGCCCCCGACGGCAGCTGATAAATAGGGTCTGGATACACCCCCGGCACCTCCCCTAAGCCAGGCTGGGGGCGAGACGACCCTCTATGCTGCGGGGCGGTCAGGAGGCGGTGCCGAGCCGCTCTCCCGGCGGCTGTCGCGGCTCGCTGCTGTGCCCGGCCAGGGTCCGCCTGCTCTGGACCCGCGCCGGGGGAGGGAAGGGCAGCTCTCCTCGCATTTTCCGCCCCGAAGAGGTCCCCCCACCCTGAGGCGGGGCTCCTGTTTGCTTCGCCGTTCCCTCTGCTCGGGACTCCCTTCGGCGAGCGGAGGGGGCCTGGAGGGGGCGGCTGCCGGCCTTGGAAGAGCCCCTGGGCGGGGAGGCGGGCTGGCCGGAGGCACCACGTCAGCTTCCCCCAGCCGCGATGGGCCCCCCCAAGTGACTGCGGCCCCGAGCCCGGTCCCGGGGCGCAGGAACGGTGGGGCAGCC